CTTCGATCCACCGTGGAAGCAGACATTTGGCTGCTGCGGGAAGTGGTTCCCGTGAATCCTTATCAGGACAGCGCGAGGTGGACGGTGATCACTGATGCCAGGATGCTTAACCAGTATAAACATGGAGGACGCAGCCAACAAGGGCTAACGAGGCGCAAGAATGCGGGTAACAGTGAGACGCGCCGATGGATCAGCGAAAGTGGGTGCCCGCAATCCTCTTCAGTGGGCTCAGTGAATCCGGCTCCTTCCTGTTTGAATAGCGTGAACTCGATTTGATGATTACAAGTGCCCCCTCGCCGTTGAATTGTGATATTCAAAGTGGTGGCGGCTGCATCGGGTTTGGTGATTGACGCAGTTTCTCCGCAAAGTGGTTTTAGCATTCCCGACAGGATGTGCCTTTTTGTGCGGTGCAGAGGTAAAATAAACGCTGTACGGAATTGCTTTACACTATGCGGTACATACACTTTATGGATCTTTTATACCTAACAGTTGTAGAAATGTCAATGTTGGGCGAGGTGCCGGCAATTTGCGATGTGTGTGAAGCTGCAGTGAAGTGTTTGCAGACCCTCACTCGACAGCTTCCAGCTTTATCGCAGCGCGACCAGAGGTTTTGATGCAGGAGGATGAATTAGGCACGAGACCCTAACTATACAGCTTTAAGCTTAGAATGCTTTGTGCGGTTTGCCTCTCTGGAGGCGCGGATAGCTTTCAGCATTTTGCGTGGCTCTTTTTAAAATTTTTCTACCTCCTTCCTGACTGCCAAGACCACATATAGGCTAACGCTACAATCCTTTCTCCGGCGTGCCGTTAAGGATATGGGCCGTCTCTTTTTTAATCGATGCTGTTTTATTTGCCACCGTTACACCGTGGTCACCGCCGAAAAGGGCGGTTGTCCTGGCCAGGGTTAAGTTGGGTATTGGAGGCAGTTTTGCTCTAGGCGGTATCGGCATTTTATTGCCCAAGAAGGGTAAGCAAACCAGCGCTAGGAGACGAGCATGTCTCGATTGCCGCTGCCTTGGTTTGTTTTGTGGTTTAAATGACGTCAGCAGTTAACAGCGACACGGAGTCGGCCACTGATTCTGTAGAAAGCTTGAAAATGACACAAAAAAAAAAAAGAGTATTCCTTTGCACTATAGAACAGTCTCAACCATTGATCTTTCGTGGACCCCTTCTGGGTCGGCGGAGATGATGGAGCACCCCGGTCATAGTGGGGGCAAGGGAGAGGTTTAGTTGAATTATGATAATGATATAATAAATAGATACATCTAAGGGTTGCGTGAAGTAGGCGTATCTCATTGACATACAAAAAAAAAATCTGAACCGAAAATCGTAACATTTCTTGTTAATCTGAGAAATACTTTTTACTGCGGGCTTGACTTATGAAAAAGGGAGGGAGGGCTTTGCGGACCCCCGAAACGTCTTTTCAAACCCCCTCGGGTCCACGGAACACCATTTGAGAACCACTGCACTAGGGGATGGCGCTATGTGTCAAACAAGCAGTTATCATCATTGCTGATTTGGTCGTGTCATTTCGTATCGTTCGTCCTCGTTCTACGACTCACTAAAAACCGTCGTCTGGTGCTTACGACTGTCGAAACCGTTTAACCGAACCGTTCGTGGTTTCGCAACCGTTCGCGCCAGAAACGACTCGCTTAAACTCTCTATAAAAGACCCCAGGTCAAAGGTCGTACCGCACTGGCTAAATTGCTCATATACAGCGAGAGACTCGTCCCTTCTTTGAAATGGCTGTAAACTCCACGCTGTCTAGACATCCACACAACCCAATTTTTTTTCTTCAATCTGTAGGATGAAGTATATCACAAATTATATTCACGAAATATAATTACTATACTCAAGTTACTGTAGTTTGGCTACTTTTTCAAGAAGATTTGTAAATTTAAGCAAAACTAAAAAGAAAATTTGTCTTTATTGTATAAACAGCCTGCATGATCTTAGTCTTCCAGGTATGGTGATATTGTTAAACGCTGTAGATGGACAATTTAGCCAGTGCAGTACGACGGCTGACCAAAGGTGTGTAACGTGCATCACGTCGTAGCGATGCACGCGCTGGCACACTCAGCCACCGTCCTCTTCCTAAATTTAAGTTAGGTAGTGGGTAAGTAGAACATCTAAAAAGTGAAACGAAAAAAAAAAAAGAAAAGCTTAAAAAAAAGAGAAAGAAAAGATTGAATTGCAAGAAAATGTCAGCCTCCGTACTGCGGGCGGGCATAGCTGATTTCACTTGGGGAAAGGAGAGAGAAATACGGCATAACGAAAACGGGAGTTGAGACTTTACAGTGACACATTTATATACACAGGCGTACATACACACAAACGAAAAAATTAAGAAAACAGGAGGAAAGAAATGCCGGTGCACATGGGAAAAAGACAAGCTAATGTTCTCCGTCTTTTTTTGTTTTTTTTTTGTTTTGCTTGCTGATGGTTATTGTTGGTTTTACGGCTTTTAGCATTTTTCGGCATCCATCTGGACACTGGACCACGGAGTAGTTTCTCTTGAAAGGCTTGTATACCTATGTATACGGCGGCATCGTCCGCCCACTAAGAAAAGAAGACGAGGACAGGCGGCGTTTTTACCCCCTCCTTTAATTCCCGCTTTCATTCTCAACAACGTTAATTGCGTTACATATCTGTTTTTTTTCTCTCTCTCTCTTTTTTTTCGTTTCTTTGTTGTTGCTTTCCGGGAGGGTATTGTGCGGCCCCCAGAGTAGGAGCGATTTCGTAGCCTGATCATTTTCCAAAGCTGCAGAAAGCGTGTTATTAGACAAGGTGACAATCCGTAAGCTTCTCCCTTGCCTGGTGTTTATTTTTTATTTTTATTTCTTGACACAACTAAGCAAACCAATATCACGCCAGTGGAAAGCTTCCAGTTTTCCACGAACGGAAGATCCTCACGAGAAAAAGTGCGAGATACGACGTACTGACGGCTACTTTCGTGGGGAAAACAGTGCGCGCCAAGGTTTCAGCGGTGGTGAATATAATGACGACTTGGGAGTCGAAAGGACTGCCCTTCCACCCCAGTACAAAGTAGCCGAGTATGACACACGTCCAGGTCAACCGCTCTGTCTCTCAGTCATCAATACCAACCAATTCGAAAGCAGGTGCGCCGTTCCTTGTAGTTCATCTTGATATAGTACTTGTAAGTAACCAAAATTCGAGTTACTTGACCTTTAGAGGAACTTGTCCAATAACGTGGACTTAATTACTACTGAAAATATTCACACTACCTCATTCTTTTGTCATTACAAACTATTATTAATTTCAGTGTTGCAGAATCCCCTCTTATTATATCAGTAATATTCCAACCTAACGCAAAAATAAACAAAAATGAGATTAACTAAGATTAACAACCTCTAAAAATAACAAGCAGAACCAGACGAATACTTCCTTAGTGCGGTGGTCTCCCGAACACGTTTCCTCTCAAGCCCTTCACAAAACAGGAAAAAAGATCAAAACACGGGCGTTGGCTCTTAATCGCAAGAATCAAAGAAAGTAAACAAAATAAAGAAGCAAAACGAGCGGCGTCTCTGCTGTCTTCCCTAAGCGTTCTCCGCAGCTGGAGATCCCCCCTCTCCCTTCCACCCCACCGGACGCTAATTCGCCTGAGCGGAGAGGGGTGTGACTGCCTCTTCCCGCGCGGTGAAGGACAGGCCAGCCCAGCAAGTTCAGAGAGATGTCACGTGATCTCGTGAGTGAACTGACTCCGGTGATATGAATGATATTTTTTGAGTTTGACTCCTGTGATATCTTTTTGAGTTTGACTCCTGTGATATCAGTAGATATCAGTGATAGTTTGTGATATCTTTTTGAGTTTGAGTCGGATGATATATTTTGAGTTTGACTCAGGTGATATATTTTGAGTTTGACTCTGGTGATATATTTTGAATTTGACTCGGGTGATATATTTTGAGTTTGACTCGAGTGATATATTTTGAGTTTGACTCGGTTGATATATTTTGAGTTTGACTCGGTTGATATATTTTGAGTTTCACTCGAGTGATATATTTTGAGTTTGACTCGGTTGATATATTTTGAGTTTGACTCCAATGATATATATTTGTTTTGAGTTTGACTTGGGTGATATATTTTTACTTTGAGACCTACTCGAGTTGATATCTTTTGAGTTTGACTCTGGTGATATTTTTTTTAGATTGACTGCTGTGATATCAGTTATATAATTAATCTCTCCGAGATGAGTCTCGGTGAATTTGAGGCCTTGGTAAAATTCTTGATCTGACTCATGTTGATTTTTTGATGGTGGAAAAATTTGTGATATGAGCGTGAGTGAATTCGGGGATGAGTTTGTAAAAGTGAGATGATATTGAATGACTCCAACTCAAAATGCCGACCTATGTTGAGGAGTAGTCTGGTCATTGTAGTATGACCACTAACCTGGGCCTTTAATGTGCATTGTGATTGCACAGGTGCACATGACATGCAGGCGGAGTGGGAACAAAAGCTAATGATTATTACGTTGCAGGAGTAGATTATGGTGTCCCGACGGAGTGTTTCTTCGAGGAAAGAATTAAGCTGCAGAGGATTCGCGATCGGCCTACAGAGTGTCCACTATCTCATCGAAGCATACGCTTGCCCCATCTTCTGGGAAGGATTACGATCAGCAGCATTGATCCATTGGGTGCCTTTTTTCTTTTTAATGGACAAAGAGTGTGTTGGTGCGGGTCGAGATTGAAGAAAGAATAAACGAGTGGAGACGAAGACAACACAACCACATCTTTCAATTTTTCTTTTCTTTCCACGTTTTGTTCTACGAGCCACCGAAGGTCGCAAACATATTTAGGAAACTAAAGACACTGCTGGCTCAACTCAATGCGGCTCCGTCATGAAAAGCCTCCGCCGCCAACTAGAACTAACTTCTCCTCGCAGCCTTTCCTCCTCGGAGATGAAGATCTGTCGCACGAATACACCCTTAGGTGTGTGCGGGAAGAAGTTTGAGTCACCCGCAATGCCTCGTCTTGATGCAGCATTGCCAGGGTGCTGAGCGGGAAGCTCTTCTCCGATCAAGAGCGAGCCACCATGGAGAACTACATGGCACTGGCTGTCACAGCGGCCCAGGAGTCTAGGGTATGCCTGCGAGAGAGATTCTTCTATAGATGGTGGCACCTGCCATCTTCTAGAGCACTTGGTTTCTTGTGTCATGTCATCTACATGTAGGATTCTGCATTTCTGGTGATTTTCGGCGATAAAAGTACCATATTTATTCGCGTAATGAAGACACTTTTTTCAGAAAAATTGGCACATTGGTGGGTGCGTTCATTACGCGGGGTAAAATTTTTGCGTTTACACACTTTGCGTGATTGTCATTTTAGGTGTCAATATGACACGGCAGGGTACTGTGGCATGTCTCCACTGACGGATGCGCACCCATGGCTTGTTGTGGGCGTGCCACTGTAACCATGCTCTAAAATGAACCTTTTCTAGGGCACTTTTGGCGTGACTTTTGCCAAAAAAAAAAAGCCTTACGAAGCTCACTCAGCACGAAGAGCGACGCGGCCATTCTTAGGCCTAACCACTTTCACGATATCACTGTCCAAGATGACGGCGTGTTTGTTTACATCAATGCATCCGATGGACGAAGCACGTCCGGGGCCGGGCAATTCCTCGACCCCAGCTTTGCTAGGTGTGCGTGCCGCTCGGTTTCACGGTTGATCACTTCCGTAACCACGCAATAGCAGCCATTACGAGAGCGGCTTTGCTTGGCTTGGCTTGGCTTGGCCTGACCGCTTGGCAGCAATAGAAAATAGGCTTTGAGACACGCGGAGCCAAAAATTAAAAGTGTGTGCTTTATGCAAGAAAAAGGAAAAGCCTAAATATTGATGCCTGTTGTGGGGGGTGCATTCATTATGTGAGTGCATTCATTATGCGAGTAAATATGGCATGTATTGCGGATCCGGATTTATCTTCAAAAACACCCAAATTTGGGGACTACCAGGTGTAAAAACCCGACCGATCATTACTTTTTCCGTGTTGCCTTCTCAAGAGGCATTAACGCTTCTCTTCTCTGCCAATGGCACAGTATGGATGTCCCAGTTGCGGTCTCGGAAGCATTGCCCAATTCTCCCAGTGTTGAGTCCTGTGTACTGAGTGCTTAAAGCACCAGATTGCAAAGCGCAGCTTCCCGATATCGGTCTCAGGGACACTAACATGGCACACCCGTTCTTGTTGCTGTAAAGGCAGGCATTGGAGTGGCGGTGGTTAACCCCAGCACCGACAGGGTGTTGGCGGTCGCCGTGGGAGATGGGAAACATCCTCTGAGACATGCCACCATGGTTGCCATCGACCTGGTGGCACGGCAGCAAGGTGGCGGCGCATGGCCGGTCCCGCCCGGATGTGAGTCTGGTCTATGTCTCAGTTTTGGCGGGGCCGTTGTCTGGTCCCGGTCTTCTAGGTTAGGCCAAGGGGCGCCGTGACGATCTTCTTCAGAAAAGCTTTTTTTCTCTGTCCTCCAAAGGGCAAGGAAACTTCGGTTTCTCGCAGCTCTCGAATGAACTACCATTTCTCTCAAATTTTATTTTACTTGAACGAGGATGTGTAAACCTAGTGTTTGAACAAAGCTTTCGGACATTTCATTTTTTTTTTTCTGGAAAATATTAAACGTGTACTAAAAGGAAATGTTGCTTTAGTAACAAAAAATCACTTTTTTCCCGGCAGTCACCGTACAAGAGCGTATCCTTGCATACTGATCAACACTTGGGGATACAATCTAAACAGTAAGATGGGAAACTTAAAAAAAAAAAAAAAGTGCTTATACATATTTCTAATCTTTTCAAATACTAGAGTTCTATCTTTCTTTTTTTCTACTTGTTTTTGTGTATGAAACCTAGAGTGAAGCGATTGCTGTGCCAAAGTGCTTACCGTGCTACGAGATCGTGCTACATTTCGAATGTGAGGAATTTGCATCAACATTGCGCCAAAATTTACTTTTACGTTATTAATACTGAAATTGTAATAGCCCAGGCCCCACTACACGACCGAATTGTTACGGTAGGCTCGTGCGAATTTCTGGAACTTTCGATTATCACCTAATATCTCTGCATCAAACATTGATAGTGCTTGGAAGTTTCGTGGTCCGTTTTGGAAAGTTAGTTTCGTTGAGTGCGCTTCTTATCTTGCATTGATGTGCTGCAGTGAAGTGACAACCACGTTGGGGAGGCATTGCGATTTTGAGAATCTTGCTTTGCTGCAGTGCAGCATAGTGCTAAGGGCAACTTATTCCTCTAAGGCGGAACATTACATATGCAGGTGTTGAGTGTAAACAAAGAAATTAATAAAGAGCTTGGTAAGTGTTGATGTGATAACTCTACGTTGCAGCGAAAATTTCTGAATGAAGCTGCGGTTAGCATATGCGATAGACTATGTTGCTCTGACAATATCTTTTTCACATTAGAGATTTGGAAAGGATACGTGGGTATCGCGAGATTTATATGAATTGCTCTATAAGTCTATTTTTTATGTCACCTCTCATATATAGTTATCAGCTTCATATGTTCGGGCGAATCAAGTTTCACGCTTTGCATTTGCAAAATTCACATCCTACACTAAAATCGGACGAACTGCAAGGTTCCTTGATCGTTGAACATTATGTGTAGCCATTGGTTACTGTATGATCGCATTGTGTTATAATGCGAGCAATATTTTCAAACATGTTTCCAAAGTCCGGGCAACAGACAACACGGTGATTGATGGCCTTGCTCGTGTCTGTGGCGCTCGCGGAGTGATACGCGACCGGCACATCCGGACATCTCTGTCCAGACGGCAACGAGCAGCTACGGCTTTGCGAAGGGGCAATGTTTTCGTCGGCTAGTACATTCTACCGAGCGCACAGAGAGAAACAGGCAACAGATGACGGAATGTCGACTCACGCGCGGCGTGTAACCGCACTATATCTTCCCGGCTCCGCATGCTGCCTCACAGCCACACCATCCGCACCTCCGGGGTCTCCCACAGAAGCGATGGTCGCTCCCCATAGTGCAGCCTTGGATCCAACATGGTCGCCCTGGGAGCACCATTGCGATGCTATGCTCCGCAAGCAAAGCATATATCGTTACTCTAGTCCCTTGCAGTCGAATCGAGTTTGGTCGGTAGACTACGTTCACCGACAGGCAAATGGCTGCCCTTTTTTTTTTTTTTTTTTGCGGACAAGGTTAAGGGTTGGCTTTGATACAAAAAAAAAACCCTAGAGAAAACCTGGGGATGTCTGGTTTGTCGGGTGCCGTCTTGGGACTGGGGCTCGAGGCATTGTGGCTCTCCTTGGCAGGCGAGATGTGCAGCATCACGCGGCGCGACCTGGAAGTGGGCAGCAAGGTGCCGTATCTCTGCACTGGCTACGACTTCTACATCAGCCACGAACCATGCACAATGTGAGTGGAAAGTTCTGGGGTAAAACTTGCACGTTCGCATAATTGCCCTCCCAAATGAGGCACTGCAGGCCTCCGTGGCACAGGCTCTTGCATTTCTATGCTGCCACGGTTTTCTTGAGCCAATGAAGATGATTATTATTGACCATATTCATCATCATTATTTAAGACAGCTACTTGACCAAGGCTGCAGAGCTTTCAGTTGTTCCTGGACACTATAATTAAAACAGATTATTATTTTACTGTTATTATTATTGCCATAATCATTATTGTCATTATTGCTATCATTATTATTTAAGACTGCAATCATTACCCAAGGTGAAGAGCTCTCAGTGGCGGTACTTTTATTAATTGCAGTAGCTCTAGTCAGATACAACATAAGAAAGGCAGTGCGAGGGGGAACAGGGTGGAAAGCTAAAGTGGAGGGGAGTGACCTCCCTTCCACAACGGCTTCTTCATTTGCGCCTTTTTCCCCTTGCGCTGTCTTATGCTGTATCTGACTATTTATAAGCTGAATTGACCAATACAAAACTTTTAATTGAGTGGTTAGAAAACGAGGCCCTTGGAAAAGTCAAACAAGGAGTTAAAAAGCTGTTGGCAAGTCTAGCAAAGAACTGGCATGGATGGTTTATAGGTAACATAAAAACTAGGGATGCCGCGAACTTTTTTCGAATCGAAGTTTCGATAATCGAATCAAGCGGTTCGAAAGATTTCGAATTTTCGAACTGATTAAACTAAAAAGTTCGACGCTTTTCGAAATATCGAACTTATTACGCTTCAAAATTCGATGCTTGTCGAACTTTCGAACTTCTCGCACTAAAAAGTTAGAATCTTTTCGAACTTTCGAACTTCCTACGCTAAGAAATTCGATAATTTTTGAACTTTCGAACTTATTTATGAAGAGAATTCGAAAATTGTCGAACTTTCGATTCCTGAAAAGTCAAAAGTTCGACGAACTTCGAACTTTTAAAGTAAAACTTCGAAGCTCGTCGAACTTCGAAAGATCAGCGGGCGGTTTCATTTGGATTCAAGCAGTGAGGTACATTCGTAAATATTTTTTTCCCAATTTTACATGCGGTGCCGAATTCCATGCGAAAGACAATGCTGTTTATTTCAATCATCTGTCATGCTTGGTTTTAAAGAAACAGATTCCCGAAGGTGCAAGGAAGGACGACGGGTTTTTGACAATTGTCGTTTGTGCCATATTTGAAGTGCGCTATAGCCGAAGCTATTTATGGTAGAGATGTTAAACTTTTTAAGAATGATCTATATATAACCAAGGTGAGTGCCGTCTTAAGACATGATTATTGTTGTTCAAGACAAGTTTCGAAGAAATACCCAAACATGTACCTACGGGCAATTATGCCCTAAACTTGGTAATTTGTTTCGCCTACATTGTTTGAGGTATCGCATTTAAATTAACACTAGAGACGGTACATATCATTACCATCTGCAGAATACAAAATGATGTCTTGTTTTTTTTCACGTTGAGGAATAAATCAACTCATGGGGGAAGATTTCTAAATATAATTCAAGTTTGGCACGTCATAAAATTTTTTTTTTTCTCATTTTATGTTTTTGGGACGTGTTTCTGTTGGCCTGTACACATTTCGGTAAGAGAAACTTGTTTAATAGCTCTGGCCCTCTGAATTTGCAAAAATACAACACTTCCGGCGGGTGTTTGAAAGTTTTTTTTTTTCTCCAGCTTTTTATTCTTGCATTTATTGTTATGTTTATTGATTATTTTTTACCAATGGCACAGTTATTTAGGTCGAAAAGACATAGCTTTAAACTTTTGAGCCACCGAGCATGTGACGAGTAGTGCCTTCCGACAACGAGTTTCTAAGAACATCTACATGATCATTTATGCAATGAAGAGCGACAGTAGCTACACATATGCATAAATAATTTCAGATTAAAATAAGCTCGACCATGCCCTCTTTGCCCGTGTTGTTTTCTTTAACAGTCCGAAATATCTGGGAGGGAGGGGGAGGGGAAGGAGAGACTGGAGCTCCCCCCCCCCATTTTTCCTCTTCCGACGCCACTGGCATCGTAGAACACTCCTTGACCTCAAGTTGCGTCGGCTTCTGTGCTTTTTGCTTGGCGTTTCTTCCGCCACAGAAAATAAACCTCCAAAGCAATTACAAACAAAAAAATTGTCGAGGTGCAAGCAAGCTGGTGTATGTTGATCATGATGCAAAATCCTGAGACTGGGAATGAAATTCGCAAAGAATAGTGTAAGAAGAAAGAAAAAAAGTGAAAGCCGTTTACAACTCCCTGTAACGCCGAATTAGAGCGCAGCTCTTGAGGAGGAGGAGGGAAGGGTACTGGGGGGGGTCAAGTGACCTTGGGTGGGGGTCACGTGACGGTGACGATGACGTCATCAGTAACGATGACGATGTGGATACCGATGACGTCATCAGTGACGTCACTGATGACGTCATCAGTGATGATGACAATGACGATGCCGGTGACGTCATCAGTGATGATGACGATGCGGATGCCGGTGACGTCATCAGTGACGTCACTGATGACGCCATCAGCGATGATGACGATGCGGATGGTGATGATGACGATGACGATGCGGATGCCGGTGACGTCATCAGTGATGATGACTATTAGCATCTTCGATCAACTCGCACCGGAATCGCCCTGAAACCAGCACAGTGCACAGCGCTCCTCGGTCGTGCAGCGCGATGTCGATGCAACATCGAGGACAAACTGCGCCGCGCCTAAGCACCGCGGCGAGCTCCACCTTGCGTCACTTCGCGTTTTGTTCGTTTTTTCTTGCGTAGGTCAGCGCACGGTGCCCGTCTGCTGTCAATTTCTTTAGTCGCGGATTTGACGGTCCCACAGAAATAAACATCGTGGACGTGATTGTCGATGGGGTCACGAAGCGGGTGACAATTCCACATGTATATGTTGGCCATCATTATTGGTTCAAGAAAACGAAACACCAGATAATAGCCGTACCTCGCTGTCATCGAAACGCTTCGCGCCGCTTTCCACGAAGTTCGTGCTTTTCGGGCGCTCCTTGCCGCCGCAGCAATCGCCAGTAATCGCGGCGATGGTGAGAAGCTCGTCGTCTCGCCGTCAGAAGACCCGAGGAAATCATCTAGTGGAGCTGCGAGGCGTGTTCGTTTTTGCAAGATCGCCATCTCGATAGTCTGCGCGTCTGCTACTCCTGCCATCTTCTCGATTCCCGCTCCTGGCCGCAAAGCCTGATGGGACTGCCCCCCCGGCGCACCGCCGATTTTCTTGGTGCGCGTTGGGGCAACGAAAAGCCGCACCGGGAGGGTGCGCTTCGTTGATCGAGGATGTGCAGTGCGCACCGGTGCACTTGATCGAAGATGAAGGGGCGCACCTCAGTGCCCCGGTGCGCACCGGTGCGGATGATCGAGGATGCTATATGACGATGCGGATGCCGGTGGCATCATCAGTGACGTTACTGATGACGTCATCAGTGATGATGACGATGCGGATGCCGGTGATGTCATCAGTGACGTCACTGATGACGTCATCAGCGATGATGACGATGACGATGCGGATGGTGACGATGACGATGCGGATGCCGGTGACGTCATCAGTGACGTCACTGATGACGTCATCAGTGATGATGACAATGACGATGCGGATGCCGGTGACGTCATCAGTGATGTTGACGATGCGGATGCCGGTGACGTCACTGATGACGTCATCATTGATGATGACGATGCGGATGCCGGTGACGTCATCAGTGACGTCACTGATGACGTCATCGGGGGTCACGTGACCCCGGGGGTCACGTGACTTGGGGAGTCACGTGACTTTGCGTGTCACGTGACCTTGGGGGTCACGTGACCTTGGGGAGTCATGTGACCTTGGGGTCACGTGACCTCGGGGGTCAAGTGACCTTGGGATGACCTTGGTTACGCCGACAACGACGGCGACGCCGCTCAAGCCGGGAACGGGCCCCTAAGAGCCGCGCTCTAAAAGGGGACAGGACAACATCTCAAACTCAGCTCAGTTGAGTTTGAGACGTTATCCTGAGCCGAGTTTTCAGCCGAGTTGAGTTTGACACGTCCTGAGCTGAGTTTGAGACGTTGTCCTGTCCCCTTTTTAGAGCGCAGCTCTTAGGGGCCCGTTCCCGGCTTGAGCGGCGTCAACGTAACCAAGGTCACCCCAAGGTCACGTGACCCCCAAGGTCACCCCAAGGTCACGTGACCCCTCCCCCAGGGTCACGTGACCCCCCGAGGTCACGTGACCCGCCCCCCGAAGTCACGTGACACCCCCCAGGTCACATGACCTCCCCGATGACGTCATCGTCACTGATGACGTCATCGGGTCCGCATCGTCATCATCACTGATGACGTCATCAGTGATGATGACGATGCGGATTCCGGTGAGGTCATCAGTGACGTCACTGATGACGTCATCAGTGACGATGACGATGCGGATGCCGGTGACGTCATCAGTGACGTCACTGATGACGTCCTCAGTGATGATGACGATGCGGATGCCGGTGACGTCATCAGTGACGTCACTGATGACGTCATCAGTGATGATGACGATGCGGATGCCGGTGACGTCATCAGTGACGATGACGTCATCGGGGAGGTCACGTGACCCTGGGGGTGGTCACGTGACCTGGGGGTGTCACGTGACTTCGGGGGGCATCCGCATCGTCATCGTCACAGATGACGTCATCAGTGACGTCACTGATGACGTCACCGACATCCGCATCGTCATCGTCATCATCGCTGATGACGTCATCGGAGTCCGCATCGTCATCGTCACTGATGACGTCATCAGTGACGTCACTGATGACATCATCGGCATCGTCACGTGACCCCCCCCCCAGGTCACTTCACCCCCCCAGTACCCTTCCCTCCTCCTCCTCCTCAAGAGCTGCGCTCTAATTCGGTGTTACAGGGAGTTGTAAACGGCTTTCACTTTTTTCTGTCTTCTTACACTTTTTAGAGCGCAGCTCTTAGGGGCCCATTCCCGGCTTGAGCGGCGTCGGC